ACAAATGCGAGAACTTGCAGACAGCGATTGAGTTGCATTTGCTGCGTGTATCTGTGTGTGCGTGTGTGTGTTTGATACAATTTTCCAGTCATTTTGGCCGATTCGCTTTGGTCAATGTCGCTGGGCCACTCATGCTTATGTAATGCCACGCCTCTGCGCCTCTTATAACGATGATGCAGCTCGAGTTGCCGCTGGCGTGTTACCTTCTTCTTCTGCTTCTTCTTCTGCTGCTGGCTCATTGTTTGCCTTCATGGCTTTTGTGCCGCGTAATCGCCGTTTTCCAATGAACCCAGGTATGAGAGGGCATGAGATACAAGCGTCACCGGATTCTTTCATTCTTGCCTCGGTTTCGGTTTTTGTTTTCTTCTCTTTTTTTTTGTTTTTTTTTTTTTGATTCATGGATGCCACATGAAACATGCTCATGTTCACGGAAAAAGAAAAGGTTAATGCCTAGTGAAGTGTGCACAGCATCGAAATCAACAAAAGTAGCCGGCATCCAACTATCTTGTATATATATATATACATTGTATAGCTGGGCATTTCCGCTCTCCAACTCTATCGTTAGTTATGGCCACTGAAGATTACAGCTCGTATTATGATTATTGGATGTGAGCTGCTTTGTCGCACACGCTGTTCGATCAGATTTAAATGTGTTTCCATTACAGAGTATCTGTGTGTGTTTTGTGGTATCTTTCAGATACATTCGAGTGGCAACTTATCAGTTGCCTTGCTTTCATTTATCTAATTACCTTTCTGCACGTCGCTGCGTCTAAGTGGTATTTGTTGCCATTTCTGTCTTATCAGCCAAGAGTCGAGGAGGAGCTCCTCAAACAAACACACACACACACACACACACACACACAGACATTGCACACTGTTTGCGTCGCATAAATCAATTATTTGCACCTAAGGCTCATAAATCAACCTATGACGAGAGACAACAACAGCAACAACATTCAATTGGTCAGCACAAAAGATTTGTTAGCCAAGTGAATGAAAAGGCAAAAGGCGAGCAAATTGTGTGTATTGCCTTGTAAATGGCATGAAAAGCCAGGGCTAATATGGCGTTGGCGGCGTCTTGTTACCACAACACGACAAGCAACAACAACAGCAACAATAACAATAATAAATATTTGAGTGATTTCTTTTTTAAGCGCAGGCAACAACATGACCAAAATAACAACGACTACAAAAACATGAAACAGATTTCAATTTTTGCGCAGCTAAATAACTCGCGTGTCTCTCTCTCTCTCTCCCTCTCTCTCTCCGCCTCTCTCTCTCTCTCTCTCTCTCTCTCTCTCTATTTTGTTTGCTTGTCTAACTTAATTCAATAGCATCCACCGCCCAAAGTGCCACGCCCCACAACACTCGCCACCTCAATCTCTGGCAAACTCCACCCTTAAAGACCACACTTGACTTTTGCTTCTTCTTTCTTTCTATATTTGTTTGGCAGATTTTTGTGGTTTCTGCTTTTATTGTTGTTGTTGTTGTTGTTGTACGTTTAGACGGTTTATTGACTTTGGTTTCGTTTTCGCACACTAAGCGCAAATCTAAACATTAAATGAAGTAAGTGTAAACAAAAACAAAAAACTGTTAAAAATACACTTATTTGTGTGGAATTGTGAGGCAAACAAATTGTGTGTGCAAGAAGAAGAGCAAGCAATTCGTTTAAGTCAAAAAGAACCTAGATCTACATGAACCGAATCAGTTTCATTTATAGATTTGATATTAATCCAGGGGTGCAAACGGTTCGAACAAGCTGCCTGCCTTAAAGTTTGGTTCCCAATCAGTTTTATTTATAGATTTGCAGCTCTGGTTTAATATCAAGGGCGGAAAACCTAAAGAAGGAACTGTTATTGGTTCGGTTCACGGTTCAAACAAGCTGCCTGCTTTAAAGTTTGGTCCGTGAACTAACTCTTGAACCCCGAATTGAGCTGCAAATTTATACAATTTAAATTAATTATTTTAATATTTAATTTGTTATTGCGCGCATGTCTATTGAAAATTTTGCATATCGTGCATATTTTCATGCACAAAATGCGCGTTAAATTTGATATCTAACCAAAAATATGGCTAGATAATTGCCCTGGCTGTGGCGCAGGCTATTTATGCGTTGTAGCTGTGCCTCATGCCGAGGTATTTGATATAAAACCACAACTAATTTTGAAAAAATAAATCTAGTTTGGTTTTTGTTTAAAAATAATTAAAATTCTTTAATTAACTAGCCCAATTTTAAACTGAATCGCAAAGAGAAGATCATATATTCAAATGTTGTCGTATATTCAAATGTATTCATTTTCCCACATCTTCCATAATTTCGAACCATTCATAATTTCTCACTTCCGCCTCGACTAATTTCTATCTATTCGCTCTATCTTTGCAGGTGCGTATTCAGTTCAATTTTGTATTCGGTTCGCCTTATCGCCAGAACAAACAGAGTACAACGAATAATTATCTATGCCGGACTGGCTATCGGCACAGCTCGGTGGTTAGTTGACGCCCAGCTAGACAGCTTGGCGTTTCGCTGGCTCGAATTATAATATCGCATAATATAATGTGTAAATAATGGCTGAGTGTGTGCGAGAGTGTGCGAGAGTGTGTGGGAGCGACCTTTCCAAGAGACCATCAATCATTTAACAACAATTGCCAGGCGCTCAACGCCAACACCAACACGAACTTCAACTAAAACGCAAATACAGTAAAAAACATAAAAGCTACCCCACGCCAAATATGCCAGACAAAAAACAAAACATGCAAAGGCGCGGGAGAGTCAGATATATTACCAAATATGAATATAAATGCTTGTAAAAGAACAGGCAGGTTGGAGCAGATGTCTCTGCTGGGCAGAAGATGGAATACCCTTACGGGGCTGAGTTAGATCAGAGATAAGAGACACTTAACTTAAAACCAGGGCTGCAAAAGGCAAGAAAATATAGCTGGTTCGAAGCGTGGCGCTGATCTTTAGCGTCATTTAAGTCAGACTTTGCTTAAATTTATAATGAGTTATATATTTAAAAATGTAAACAAAACCATTTTGATTTTGTTTTGTCAACTGACTTGTTCAAAGAAAAATTTTAAGGTAAATTTCGGGTTTGAACCAGCATGTTGCAAAGCTCGTTTACAGCCCTAGTTAAATGTGAAATATACATATATATTAAGTGTATAATTGGGAGCTTAGTTATTTATGATCTTATAATAGCTGACTTCGTCAAATAGACCAACATATAGACGTTACATAATTCCTACCCAGAGTCGTATGCCCTCTATGAGGGTATTATTCTAATACCCTCGAAAAGAACAAAACAAATAAAAGCGCAGGGGCACTTAGTTATTGCCCCCATATTCGACTCTGAGCAGAACAGTAGGAAAATTTTAATATTATTGTCAACGAGCTTGGGGGCGTGGCTGATTGTTGTGTATATTTGAGTGTGTGTGTGTGTGTGTGTGTGTGCGTGTTTTTCTCTGTGTGTGTGTGTGTTGAGCTCTACGCCGAGAGCCATTCACTTTTCATTATTAATATTTTGTGTGCTTAAATTATGCTAATCCGTTGAAATATGATTATGCCAAATGACAACAGCTTGAAAAATGAAAACTTTGCGCGCACGTGGGCGTTAGGGCGTGGCGTGGCTTCGAATCGCATTTGCAGGTGTGCCGCGGTAGCTCTGCATAATTTGATTACCTTTGGCAGCTAATTTCGCCGCGACTCTCATGCTATTATTAAATTGTGGCCCATATTAAACCACTTCCCCCTTTGGGCAACTTTTTCAATTAAAGCAAAGCAAATGGCCGCCGACCTTCAAAAAGCATTTGCGAATGGCAAATGGAATTGCAGTCGAAAAACTAATTTAATTAGCTAACTCTTAACCCAAAAGCGAATCACAGCAGCAGCAGTAGCAGCCGGGTTGGCCTATCCCGCAATAATTTCACTTTAATGAAAATAATTTCCGCGCCAGCCCGAAAGGGTTACCAGGCGACGCGTCCTCCTGCCCGATGTCCTAGTTGTCCTAGTTGTCCTAGTTGTCCCAGCCGCGTCGCGTGTTTGCATTTGTGAAAGTTTTTCGGCGGTGCCAGTCGCCAAAGTTTTGAGGCGCCAACAAAAAAGCGAAACTAGCCATAAAAAAATTTGGACCCTGCGAATGCACAAGACGCCCGGCTAAAAGCTATGCAAATTGCCCGGGCGTGTGGGCTGAGGCGGGCGTGCCGGATTTTGGCCAAGCGTTCACTTCCACCATTTTGTGCGACAAAATGAATTTTTCAAGGGCATTAACAAAGAGAAACAGCTACAAAATTTTAATATTAAAAGAGCGTTAGGCAACATATTTAGTCTATTCCGGCAACTGAACGCAAGTTTTCTATCTTTCGGAAATTATAAACAGATACTCAAATTTTACTTTTCGCCAAAAAAGAGACACCTTTTTAATATTAAAAGAGCTTCAAGCAACACGTTTTTTTGGGTATTCCGGCAACTTAAAGAAAGTGTTCCTCCGCAAATAAACAGATTTTCCTATCCAACTTGATAATGCTCGAATTCTAAAAGAGCATCAAAAAAAGGCAGTAAAATTTTCATATAAAAAAGAGGGGTATTCCGGCAATGGAACGCAAGTTTTCTTAGGAAATAAACAGATTTTCCTATCCAACATAACAATGATAATATTTAATTATAAGCAGATATTCCAATTGAATTTCAGATATTTTTAATGAGCATGAAAATATAATCAAAATAATATAATAGAAGGTTAAGAAGCAGTTAAAGGACATTCCTGCATCCAAGTTTTCTTGCGGGGATTTATAACAGATATTCTTATTCAACCTGATTTTTCGTCAACTCTTCAAGAGCTCTAAGAAATCAACAAAATAATATAAAATCGAGTTGAGTAACGCATTAAGGATATTCCGTGGACTGTATCCCAGTTTTCGTTCGGAAATTATAGATTTCCTTAATTTCCATCCATTAGAGTAGGCGCCTACATTTCTTGGCATTCTAAACATCCAGATTATAGTCGTATTCTCTATACTTGTTTGTACATTAGGAAGATCTTTTGAAATATATTTTTTGGAAAGATCGTTTGCAAAATTTCTTGGGCATGTCTCGCAAGTTTTTCGCCGTCGCCTTGTTGTGTCGACAGCAGTCGCTTGCCAGCTGTGCGCTCCGTGGACCAGCCGGGAGCTGCTGTGCCCGGGTTGCTTCCGAGTCTCGGATGTCGGTTAGCCAGCGAAGCGTAACCATGTTCGCTTGCGAGAGTCGCAGTGATTCGATCACGTGTCGTCACCCGCGCAGACGTCCGCCGGATGAGAAGCAGCTGCCGGCCAGACGACGGGTTTGCCCCATCCGTGTGCGACGTGGGAAAATGCCGAAGCTGGGCGACCAAAGCCAGAAGCGGATCTTTAAGGTGATCGAGGTGCTCGAACCACGTCGGATTCCACCTCCACGGCAGTATTTCAGCACAGAAGAGCTGTTCGTTACTGTGGGAGCAAGTGAAGAGCCCTGCGGAAAAACCAAAACGCCACCAACAAGCCCACGGGGACCAACAGGTCCAAAAGGACCAACAGGACCAGCAGGACCACCAGGACCACCAGGACCAACAGGACCACCAGGACCATCAGGACCAACAGAACCTCGAAGACCACCACCACCACCACCAGGTCCATCGGGGTCAGGAAAGGACAGCAAGCTGCCCGCTGTACGAGGCCCAGCTGGAGGCGACGGTGGCGCCTCATCAGCCAAGGGCGGAAAGGGTGGAAAGGGTGGAAAGGGTGGAAATGGTGGAAAGGTTGGAAAGGGTGGAAGTGGTGGAAAGCCACGCGTCATAACCTTGATGCCCGGCGATGGCATTGGCCCGGAGATATCGCTGGCCGTGCTGGAGGTACTGAAGGCAGTTCAGGCGCCACTCGTATTCGAGCCGGTTGACGTGACGCCCGTGATGGACAAAGCGGGAAGGACATCAATACCTGAAGCTGTTATTGAGAGCATGCAGCGCACCAAGCTGGGTCTGAAGGGTCCGCTGATGACGCCGGTGGGCAAAGGCTTTCGCTCCCTGAATCTGACGCTGCGCGTGCTGTTTAACCTGTACGCGAATGTGCGTCCGTGCCGCTCGCTGGAAGGCGTGGAGACTAGCTACGGCAAGGTGGATATCATAACCATACGCGAGAACACAGAGGGCGAGTATTCGGGCATTGAGCATCAGCTGGTCAATGGGGTCGTGCAGAGCATCAAGCTGATCACACGGCCCGCCTCGATACGCGTCGCCGAATACTGCTTCAAGTATGCCATTGCCATGAATCGCAAGAAGATCACCGCGGTGCACAAACGCTCCAGCATGCGGATGTCGGACGGTTTGTTTATCAACTGTGTGCGCGAGGTATATGAGAAATACAAGGATCAGCTGAAGAGCAAGGGCATCGTCTACGAGGAGGCAGCCATTAGCACGGTCTGTCTCAAGATTGTGGCCGATCCCACGCAGTTCGATGTGCTCGTCCTGCCCAATCTCTATGGCGACATCTTGTCGGACACATGCGCCGGTCTCGTTGGCGGCCTGGGCCTGACGCCCTCCGGCAACATCGGCACCAGCGGCGCCATTTTCGAGGCTGTTCACGGCACCGCACCGACCATAGCTGGCAAGGATCTGGCCAATCCGACGGCCCTGCTACTCTCGGCCGCCATGATGTTGCGCTACATCAATATGAGCCCCTTTGCCGATAAAATCGAGCGGGCCGTCCTTCAAACCATCAAGGTGGACAACGTGCGCACCGTGGACCTGGGCGGCAAGGCCAAGTGCTCCGAATACACCAAGGCACTCATTAAGAATCTCAAGTGATCTCCTGCACCAATCGAGTACTCCCAAATCTCTGTGACCGAGACGAACATTGAGATTTAGGCGTTAAGCGAGCGCGAGCCCAACGTGAACCCTAGTCGAATCAGATAGAAACTCAATTTGTCATGTTCTTGATTTTTGATGTAGGATAATTATTTTACTAAAACTCCCATTTGTCTTTAGTATACATTTTATTTGTGTGTGTGCTCTGTTTAATATTAAAATTTGGCAATTTTAACATCTTGTATAATCAAGGTTTTCAGGTTAAAATTCTAAAAGTCCTGAGATTGCCCTTTTCTTCTGAGATTCTCATGCCACTCCTTTTGACAACTAATCAACTAATTTTACAAGCACTCTAATTATCCACAGGATAAATTAGCACCAGCTTGTAAAGACAGCTTGTAACATAGAAGTTTGACCGCGCTGGTCACACTCTTTGTTGATGCAGCCAAACCGAACATCAGAGAGAAGCGACCGTCAGTCAAAGTCAAAAGCGAGAGCCGAGAGACTGTGGCTGTAGCAGGGAGCTACGGGGTGATGCCCCTAATCCAGACCCAGTTTAGTCAGAAGGCCAGCCATCCAGCCATCCAGCCAGCCAGTCTAACCAGTGCCAAAGTCAAAGTCAGCGCCAGAGTCAGTCAGTCTCTGCGGGGCCCGAAAGCGAGAGCCAGGCGCAAGTCATCAACCGCACCGGGTTTGCCCTTTCCAACTGGCTGCAACTCTCTACCCATGTCCCCCCCGCCTCCGCACCCTGCTCCTGCATTCTAGGGGCCGGCTTAGGTTGCATTTTCACATGCATGCTTGAACCACGGCCACTTCAAACTGGCTGCGTGAAAAAGCACCGACCAAAACTCTAAACAAACCAAGCTACTAGCCAGAGGGAGAGACAGAGAGAGAGAGAGAGGGAATGAGAGAGAGGGAGAAAGGGTAGGGAGCCGCTCCTTTAGGTCTCGATGCAGCGGAGCGGAGCGGAAGAAAATGCCACAGAGCCAACCAAAGAGCCATATAAAAAATTAAAAAAGTCGAAGAAAAAGAGAACACAAAATGAAAAAATAAGTGAATGTAATTTTGTGTGCGTGTGTGTGTGTGTGTTGGTGTGTGTATGGAAGATTCTTTGTGTGCATTTCAAAGAATTTTTATAAACAACAAGAGCGCAAGAAGAAGCAGACGACCAGAGAACCAGAGAGCCAAAAGATAAACTTCGTTTTGTGTATGTGAAACAAAAGTCAAGAATTTTTCGTATATTTTTTTATCATTTTTTTTTTTATTTGTTTTTTATTTTTTGTTTTTGGACAACCGGTTTTTTGGTTGCGTTGCAGTCGCAGCGCTAACAAACAGCCTCCTCGCTGCCAACTGACACCATCTGCGCGGGGGGAGGCAGCGGCAAGTGGCAAGTGGCAAGTGGCAAGCTGATCTGGATCAGCCAAGTTGTCGCTGCCGTCTTCATTCATAAGCATATTCGCCGGAATGGAATCGCAAGTGCAACTCAAATTGCAGAGCTTGGTAAATTGAGCTACAGTGAAACCTCAGTCGAATGGAAGCAATTGAGCCTCATTTGAATTGGCCAGCACGCAAAGGTCTCCGACAATGAATGGCCATGTCTCAACGCTATTCCAGAGAATTTTTGTGATAGAGGGGAGGGGTGCAGTGTACAGACATAGACAAAAGGCGGCGCCATAATTGTCATGCCGTGCCATGGGCCGTGGCCCATTAGAATGCTAATTTGTAAATGCAATTCGATGGATGTGTTCCTGATCGCGTGATAGAGCGCCAAGAGCCAAGGGCCAAGAGCCAAGCTGTGAACATTTGTGCCTCGTTTAATTGTTTCCAACATATTTTTCGGTTCCGTGGAAATTTTGAAAATACACACATAAAAAACGCCAGCAATTTGGGAGGCAGCGTTACGCAGAATTAAGAGATGAACGCATTTTCATTGTAAACTCAAAATTCCGCTGATCTATAATTATGCACGAATTTGTTGCTGAAAATGTGCTCAGCATGTCCAAGGTTAGAAGGTCATCTATAGATAGTAATTAGTTTTAATGTATGCATGCTGTTCTCTAAAACTCCCCCTGAAAATTAAGTTCATGCTGAATGATTAAAGATGATAATTAAAATAGCGTGCTTGATATATTGCTCGAGCACGCTTTGGGGTTTTGCTTCATAAGCACATTTAACGTTAACAAACTTGAGTTTTCCAACAACAACAGAAAAAGGGAGGCGAAAAAATAAGGTAAAACTTAATTTTTCTTACTTCATTCGCAGTATCACAAGTGCTTGACAGGCCTTTTAAATCGCTTTTAACTGATTTTCCGGCTCAAACTCGGAACACAAATTTGCACGCCCGCCTCCCTGGTTGCCCCCGTTGCCCCCTTGCCCCCTTTGCCCTGACGCCCTTTTGCCCTGCTCTCCTTGACAAGGGTTACAAAACACTTTTACAAAGATTTACGACCGCCGTCAATAGTGCTTTACATGACATGCTCCAAGCACGCCCCCTTTTACCCCTCACACGCCCAGCCCCACAAATTGAACTGGTGCTCCCATAAAAAAATAGCGACAAACAAAAAGCATTTTCGAATTTAAATCTATTTGTCACTTGCGAAACTTGTGCTACCTTTTGCTACCCAACTTTCAACTTTACACAAAAAAAAAACACACTCACACACACACTCATCGGAACACGCACAAAGTTCGCCGTAAGCGAACCGGTTCCACAAAGAGCCGGAACATGCAGATTTCTGTGCCTATAAAAAGCATTGAAAAAAAGAACCTGAACCAAGTGACAGTTACAAATTTGCTGAAATAAAATGGAAGACCGAAAAAAAAGTAAGTGGCCAACAACAAAAAAAGCTGAAACAAAAGGAAATTCAAATGAGTTGCGAATGGGTGGTTGGGTGGCCACTTCGTGTGTCCAGGCCAGCTAGTTATTAGACCTCTTCCAGAACTTGTGCACACTGTAAAGCCTCAAGCCCGCTCCCTTCTGCAGGCAACAACACGCACTCGCAAAGCGCACTCCATAGCGTGGGCGAGGTGCTATGGTGGAGGGGGTGGGGGGGGTGGGGGGTAGCAATAGAAAATGATTTGCATTTATTTATTTGTGTGTTTTCTCTCTCGTCTCTTCGCCCCCTCCCACTCGTTTATGTTTGCAATTGTTATTGTCGCACTGCCCGAAGATTGAGTAGCTCTTTACTGCTTACACGCACTTCTGCTGTGCCCCTCTCCCCCCTTCCCCCTTCCCCTCTTCTCTTCTCTCGCTCGCTCTCTCGTCGTTTTGTTTTGCTTGTGCTGTGACATCTCTTTGGTCTGCTGATAAAAATAATCCCATTTATTGTTTAATGCTTAATAAATAAAGCAATTTTTATTTATTTGCCGCCTCTTGTTTCTTCTTCTTCTTCTTCAGCTCTTGTGCTTTTGTGTGTGCGTTTTGTGTTTTATTTTTATTGATTTCTGCTTTATGCTTGCGGCCTGTTTCTGTTTCGGTTTCTGCTTTGGTCTCCACTTGCTGCTGGCCTAAGTGAAATGCCATCAATTGTTTATTGTTTTGATAATGCATTTTGTTGTAGCATTTTATTGTTTGTACTTGTGCTTTGTTTCGCTTTCCTGATTCTAACTAAATGATACTTAATTGTTATATAGTCGGGCCGGGCAACGCGGCGTATGCGCAATATTTTTGACCTACAGATTCTCCGTTTGATTAATCGTTATATCTGAGGAATACAGAGCATAAATTGAAATATCAATCAAATATGTATTCAAAAACCAAAAAGTGAAAATATGCAAGCCATCAATTAATAAATAATAATTGACAAAGTACTGGGGCTCGACTGTCTGCCAGAGCAGCAAATGGAGTGGCTGCCACAGTTAATTGGCACTGGACACACACGCACACGCACACACACGCACACGAACACACACACACTCACATATGTGCCTGCTCCTTGCTTAACTTCGTCTGCTCCTCTCACGTGGACTCCTCTGTATTCAATTAACGGCGGAAATGCGGCTCCAGCGCAAAGGAAAGACTCACTGATAAGGATGCAGTTCGGGTTGTGGATGTGGATGTGGATGCGGATGCCATTGCTCGCTTTGTGCTGGCGACCAGAAGCGCATAAATGTCATAAAAATGCACACAGAAAATAATGAATGTTAAGCATCTCTCGTGTTGGTTTAATTAATGCAATTAAACGGCATGCGAAGATAATTGAAATTGCCCATAAAAAATAATGCGACACATGTGCAGCCGACGACAGTTGCCGTCTTGGGGCACACACTGGGCGCAATGCCACACAATTTGTCTTCGCTAAGGTATCGAATTAATTAACTGCAGTATTTATGTCAGTTTGTCTATACCCTATAATCAATACTCTTGACTATGGCAGCAGCTGAGCAACTCTTTGGAAGTGTTATTAATTTAAAGATTGGAGCGAAAGAGGAAATGTATTATTTTTAAGCCAGTTATAATTCGTGAGGTATTGGTCACATTAATTAATTTGCTTGGGCTTATTCTAAACGTAAAATTCCCCTCGGAAATGCTTTGATATAAATACTCAACTCCCTTTAAATCTAACCTTAGCTAAATCAATTTACGTAAATGTCGTGTCGCAAAGGTCCAAAGGTTAAGTTCGCAAATACCAGAATAGTTGACTTAAATAAAGTTGTAAATGCTGGGCAGTCAAAACACGAAGCAGCAACAGTGTTGCAACCAGGAACAAGAGCTATGTGGTAACAACAAGAACTAGGCAACAACAAATGTGGCAACTTGTAAGCCACTTGGAAGTACACACATAGTATCTAAGTACTTGCTTGGCCGGCTATCCGCTTACTCGCCATTTGCTGTTGTTGTGGGTGTGTCCCGGGCACTAATTGCAGCTTGTTACCTGGACAAAATGGGTGGTTGGAGGGGGGGGAGGGGGTGGTGCGGCCAGGCAGCAACTTCCGGTAATTAAGAACCAGCGACGACGCCGCAACGTGACACGACACAGCGGGCCAAGAGCGAGACAGAAACCAAGACCAAGACCGAGGCAGAGACTGAGACTCAGACTGAGACCGAGGCGAAGACAGAAAGGAAGAAGTTGACGCAACTGCAGTCACTTGTTGATTTAATGTCCTCCTCCAGTTGCTGCCGCAGCCATATATCAGCACAAATTCCACTTGGTGTTTTTTCAATTAAAACTTGTAAATTTGAAATGAGCCAAAAAGTTGGGCAAACGCAATCGGAATTTATATGTGCATGCCTTTGGGCCCTGCTCAAAATCATAAACAGCATAAAATTTTAACCTGTGCTGACCTGGCCCAAGTCGAGTCCAACAATGGCCGCCAATGGCCAATGAACCTTTGCATATGCCCAGCCAGAGCTAAGGTCAACATGTGCCCAATGCTGAGCTCCATGTTGACTGGACTCGGAGCACATTGAAATCTATTATGCATAGTGTGGCAGGAGAGAGACTCTGGCAGGCAGGCAGGCAGGCGAGTGGCCAAAGTGCAAGCGCATTATGCAGAAGTTGTGCCTTTGCTTCCTTTTTTTTTCCTCCTTTTTCGGTATAATATATAGACTCCTGTGTGTGAGCTCCACATGAAGGCACTTGAGTGCGAACTACTTAACTGGGTCGAGGAGCAGGCTCCATATACCGAGCTGTTTCCGGTTGCAGCCGTGTGAAATGCAATCAACTTTTTGTTTGCTGCACAATTGGGCAAAAGGCAAGTCAGCCGAGCAGAAAGGATGGGTGCATGTAAGAGTATATGCCAGGTGAATATGATAGACACAAAGGCTGGATATGCGAACAATGGACGAGGCAGAGGCAAAGGCAAAGTGCAGCCAATGAGAGGAAATTGCGATATGAATAGCGCGCCTTAAAGCTGATTGAATTGCTTTAAGTGGCAAAGTGGATATACATCCAGTTTAATTTTGGCTATAAGATCTGACATGATTTTCAGCAGTTTATATGTTACTTTGCTTGTCTGTCAATAATCCTTAGGCAGCACTTTGGCATCGCATGTTTATATTGTCCGCTGCTGCTACCCTGCGCCAGCTTGGCGGATTGGTGGGATCATCAGACGACAATGCCACGCGCCATCATTTGTGTCCGACACACGACTTCACTCGAGTCGAGTCGACTCGCCTGCCGCCCAATAAATAATTTATCAAACAAAGAGCATGCTCAATGGCAACAATGACACTTTAAGCAGCAGCCAGCAGTCAGCAGTAGGCAGTCGGTCGACTGTTGGCACAACCCTTGGCCTACAGCCGCCCACTTCAGGCCGCACTCTACGCCCTGCGCCAGACATCCGCCACTCATTGTTTCCCTTCCTGCTCGACAGGCAACAACAATAATAACAACAATAATAAACCATATAAATAAATGATAAGCCTCGCACATGCACAATGACATCCCGTCAAAAGGTGTGTGTGTGTGTGTGTGTGTGTGTGTTCTGGAGGGGGGAGGGGCAGTTTTTTGTAAAGTCGGCGAGGGTAGCTGTCCTGTAGCCTAATGAAAATGTCAACCTGCCGCTGCAATCAACTATCAACCTGCCCCATTAGCAACAGCCATCATAAGGCATCATCATCCAGTTTTTTTCATTCCAAAAATAAATGTTGGCAGATAAAATTGATATATGCTATTTGTGATTTATACGGATACAGGAGGAAGAGTTGCAGAATCGAGTTACACTCCGCAAAAAATATAATGCAATTATAAATAATTTGAATAATTTACCAAATTTAATATGAAATACATGTCTTTAAACAATTTAAGTTAAATATTCGTTGCTTTCTTATTGGCTTTTAATCTTTAGAATATCGATTTCAACTTTGATTCGTTTTTGATTTGTTTGCAGCCCAATTAAATACGCATAAGTTGCAGCCAATGATAAGGCCAAGGATAAATGTGGCTGCCACGTTAAGCTAGCAACATAATATAGTCAATAGACACACAGATACGCACACAGATACGCACAGCGCTGTCGGGAAGTGTTGGCCGCTTCCGTTTCCGGTGCCTATCTTTGTAAATCCCTGCACTAAATAACTGTCAGACAGGCAGTCGCCAGCTCCTGGCAAGCCACCCACCAAATTTTGGCAGTTCGAAACACAAAACTTTGACAATTTCACTGAACTTGCGGCGCTTATTAGAGTAGACGACAACTTGCAAAAGTTTTTGCATTTCGCAAGTGTCTCCCTCCCCCCCACCTCTCTCTCTCTTTCACCATTTCTCCACCAGGCAAATAGACCTACCCAAAACGCTAATTCTCTGCCCTGGCGGAACTGTTGGCTGTATTTTACATAACTCTGTGTGCAATAAAAATTAATTTGCTGCCCATTTGGAAGTGCTTAATTTGTAAACGAGACCATTGGGGTCCCCGCATAGTAGAGCTCCCACCCAAAAATTGTCGGTAGGGGACCGGGCGGGCGTAGAGCCGAAATGTTGACTTCAGCATGTTGTACAAACTGTGCCCGATTCTCTTGTTGCAGTTATTAAATTGCGGCTAGGTCAGCTATGTGTCGCATTTCGAGTGTGTAGGAGGGATAGCAAGAAGCCAAAAAGAAGTAAATATATTAAAAAAGTAGCTAAGTTTGCGGAAAATTAGAATACTGTTCTGTTGACATACTCAAGTTGTGGCTAGTTATAAGCAAACATATTTATACCTCTTCAAACATCAGAATTTCGAGAGTTTTGGTGTGATAGAAAGAAGCTAAAAATAAGTTCAAATAGAAAACGAGCTGTTACATTTGGTGGAAATTGTAATTTTGATCTTAAGTTGTGCCTAGTTTCGAAAACCTTGGTTAGATCTCTTAAAATCTTTGAATTTCGAGTGTGTAAGTGCCTAAGGAAGAAGCTGAAAGGAAGTTAATATACAAAAGTGAAGTTAATATAGATAATGTTGAGTGTGCAGATGTGAAAGAAAAAGCTAAAAAGAAGTTAACATAGAGAAGAGCTTGCTGAATATGCTGAAAATTGTAAAACTTTTTTATTGACATACTCAAGTTTTGCCTAGTCTTTAAGACCTTAGTTATATCATTAGAAATATCTGGAATTCGAGAGTACAGTTGGGAAAGAAAGAAGCTTAAAAGAAGTTAGTATTAAAAAATGGTTTATAATTGTCTTAAGGGTATTTGTTATAATCTAGAGCTTTGATAATTCCTTTAGTATTTCTTTGGTAAGGGTATTTGGATATCGATGAACGCCCGCTATCTGTTGTGGTCTGTTATTTCACAGATTTTTATCGCCGTCCAAAACAACAAGAACAACAAGAGCAACAAAAGCAACAAGAACAACACGACAGCACACACAGGCGACATTTATATGGCAGAAACGCAAATGGCGTTGAATGTTTGCAATAAAACAAAAATTGAACAATGCTTTCTTGTTGTTGCCGATTGTTTTTTCTGTTCTTGTTGTTGTTGCTGCTGTTGCTAGTTGTTTGTTGTCGGTTGTCATGTTTGACCCCGAGAGTTGTGTGAATTTTTGGGTGTTTCATGGATTTTCTGTCATTGCCAGCCCAAATTTATAGTTGTCGTTTTTAGTGAGAGAAACAACAAGAGTGCTCCAGTCGGGAGTGCCGAAGTAGGAGATATCCTGGAAATTGGGGGTGGTTTTCATCTGTCTTATAAATTATTTGAAAAAATACTCGATCCCCAAGAGTACCTACTTTTAAGATTTCAAGTGTGTGGCTCTTGAAGTTCTCGAGATCGACGGACATATCCATACGGACTTGGCTGTTCTGGAATATATTCTAGTATATATAGTGTATATATTGGATTTACTTTGTGGGTAAACAGATGCCTTGTTTTGCCCGCTTTCAATGAGTTCCGGGCATAATTAGGGAACGGGCCGTGTCTCAAGCAGCAATTTCCTTAACCAGCGCAAGTGGAATATACGGATTTGTCGGCGCATATATTGTAGTATATGGCCAGATTAATAATTGGCGAAAAACTGAACAATCAGCTCAATTGTACAGATGCTCTTGACTTTGACCTTTTACAAGTGGTTTGGTGGCGGGCTGGAAGAGAGCACCAGCGAGAGGGGGCCAGCGACTGGTCCTCGATTGGGAGCATCCGCTCAGCGCTTGCTCTGGCACTGTGACAGTCTGTGGGCGGACACAGACAGGGCGACAGACCGACCGCCGCCCCACCCCCCACGAGGGTATAAAAGCGCTTGACAAATGTCAAGCAAAATGCGTCAACTGTACAGCCCTGAAACCATAGCACGACCTCGTCAGCCAGCCAGCCAGCCAGCCAAGCAGGCGGGCGGGCAGCCAGACAACCAGCCAAGGGTGAATCTGTATCTGTATCTGGCAGAGCTGGGGCGCTGCATTTGTGTGGGCGAGCCGCGGGCGGAACTGTCTATGCTGTCTGTCAGTGGGTGGCATTACGTAAATCTTGACGCAGTAAAATGCCTCTCTGCATTTAATGCATACAAATTGGTTTGATTTAAAAAAAAAAATGAAAAAAGTGCAAACATTTTGTTGCCCGATACAAAAATGCTGAACAAATTTGCTAAGAAGGCACTGCGCAGATTAAATGCACACAACTTGGCCGGAATCATAAAGAGCACGGGCTGTATATCATCGTATAATGCACATTATGCATCCAAAGTGGGCTACTCAATATCCTTATCTGGCTGCGCTCTGCTCGGCAGAACTGAAAGCGACACTTACCCTGCATGCATTATAAATCTTAAGCACAGGGGACAGGCGCTGAAAATGAGATGTTCTTGCGATACCCTTTACTTTACTGGAGCCTCTTATCCGACTTTGGCACAGCTTTCACACACGCATAGCTCACACAGACGTTATAAGCTTTTTTGGGGTAATTAAAGCAAACACAAAGCTTTCAAAAGCTCACCAATACTCAAGCAGATGCCCTTTCATCTGTGTGTGTGTGTGCAGAAATGAAATATAAATGATTTTTAGATATTAATTAACGGACTCACTTGCCCGTCATCGATGCCCGTCAAAGTCACTTGCCACACATGTTTGGGGCAGCATAAAAGCTGCATGCAGCGCTCTCGTAAGTGGCTATCAGCGCATGCAATTTATAACTCCCCGGGCATTTATTACACGTACGAATACGAGGGAAATTTATATACATATACATACAATTTTTTTTGAGTACTTTTTCACCCTCACGCTTGGCAGCTGTGTGTCAACGCGTCCCTCTGTTTCTGGTTGCGGCATGGCCAACGAATTGTGTCAGCGATGGGTTTTGTCTGGCGAACTGCAATGCGTGGCATCAGCATCAGCATCAGCATCAGCTCAACCCGATGGCACGCAGCTCAACCACTTGCCACAACCGAGGCGTTATTTGTCTTTCAACACGGTGCATCATCATCATCATCGCCAACGCGCTCGGCGGTTGCAGGGTGGCTGGCTGCCAGGCTCTGGCTAGCAGCGTCATATTTTATTCAAGGCAAGTGCCATCTGCACATGAACTCGGGTGCCGCAGCCGCATTTGGTCTTCCACTTGGTCGGGCAGCTGCTTGAACTTTGACTCTGGCCCTGGCTCTGACGCTGAGCCCAGGTCTGACTGCAGATTTTTGATTTTTAACTCTTGGACTATTCTTTTTTTTTTTTGCATGGCAAATGAATTTGTCGCTGTTGACGATGCGCTTATCGCTGGGGTCCAGCTGTTAAATGGCGTTAACTCCAACTGCCAATTGCCGGGGGCAACGCTAGCAGTCAATAAACTTTCTCAAAATAGACGCCGGCGTGTTGAACTATGACACGCAGCCAAACAAACAAATTAACTCAGCCCCGTTGCACCATGAAAATGTATTCAATGTTATAACAATAACACACACTCACACACACACACATCAGTCGGAAAAACAGACGCACAACTTTTCTCTAAACAAATCCATTTAAATCAGTCGAAACGAAACGTGCACCGGGCTTGTCAGTCATGGCATCAGAGCAGAGGAAAATCCAACAACAACAACAACAACAGAAAAGAGGAAAAACCTGTGAAAAGTTGTTTGTGAAGAGCCGCCTGCTCAAATAGTTTCTGCACGCCAGTTTATGTTGATGCGCTTGTTGCCACATAATTAAATCTCAATTCAAACAAAATGCTAAACATTTCAAACTATTTTATGGCCATCCGATGGATACACTAGACAACACACAAATTAACAAATTAGTCTATAGTTCAAGTAAGGTGAGAGATATCCCACACAAGTCAATATTGCCAGCAGATGCGGGTGAAAGTGTGAAAGAATAATAACAATAATAATTTTGGAATATGATAATGATTTCTAATAAATATAACATATAATTCAAGTAATATTAATAATATAAATATTTCTTTCAACTTCAGTTTTCTTTTACTAATTTGTATATTTCGCATCTTTTCATTGCAGGTAAGCGCACAGTTTGACACGCACTGTCATTTAGTTTCGCTAGCTGCTGCTGAGCACAGTTGATGAGGCATTGATGGCTGCATGCCTAGTTGACTTGCCAGGCACGCAGCGTGCATGGCGGCAAATAAGTGTAAGTGCGCTGGATATGGCTCTCGACGTGAATGTTGCTGCCCCAATGCCCCAGCTACAGCTACAGCAGCAGCAGCAGCAGCAGCAGGAACAAAAACCCGAATCACAGCAATTGCTAGCGACGTCTTCAAGCGACAACAGACAGTTGCAAGAGACAATAGACAGACAGGGGCAGCAGACGGCAGGCAGAAGGTAGAAGCCAACTGGGAGCCTGACAGCAAATGGAGAGCAACAATTGTTGCAGACACATTGACGACGACAACGACAACGACAACCAGCGGCAGATGGAGGTGGAGAGCGGGAGCAGGTTTAGGGGGGAATGGGAGACAAGGCACAATGCCTAGTTTGTTAGCTGCCACTGACAGATGCGACTTGCAACTGCTGCACGATTGCACGCACATTTTGCTCTGTGCAACATTGGAAATTGATAATGAGCCGCAGCAGAAGCAGAAGCAGAAGCAGCGGCTGGCAGAGCCATAGGCGGCGACTGAATGGGCAGCGCCTTATTGGGCAGGAGATGTTTGATAAAGACCAGAATGGATTGCAATATGAATGAACGGTTGAATGAATGGCCGGCCAGAGCATGAATGACTGCGATTGACTGACTGACTGACTGACTGACTGAGGCATGGACTGACTAAATGAGCAGCTGACTGGGCGCAATGTGTTTGGCAAGCAATCAAGCGCACGATAAGATAAGCGAAAGCCTGCCTGGAAAGCCCGAAAACCCCGAATCACCCCGAAACCCTGGTCTGAAACTTTTAATTATGATTGACATGCGGTCGTCGTCGACGTCAACGTCAGCAACGGCTGCTGCCTCCCACAACTGGCATCGATTTCGACACGACTTAATTTTTGAAGAGGGTTGCTGATTGCCGCTGCCAGCGTGCGGTGCTGAAGCTCATCAGTCAAGCGGCCAGCCCGCCCGACTCGACACGAGACAATTGCAACACAATTTCAGTTGCGACCACAAGCTGCCACCCCAGCCCAGTTGCCATCCCGTTCCGTTTAAGGGATGAACTCTCGCGCAATTGTAACAGTTTGCCAAGGCGGCGATATGAAAAAAAAAAAATTAAATTATAGTCGCATTAACTGCGAACACGCAACATGACAAAGTCACGTCTGTTGCGTGTTGCATAAATCTGACACGCAAAAAAAAACAAAAAAAAATTAAATAAATAAACAACTAGGCGATACCCAAGTTACAGGAAGTAGCAGAACATATCGAGAGAATAAAATTTCGCTTGTCCGTGCTATTGATTTTCCATATGAGGCGAAAGACACCCTGTACTCGAGCTGTGCGTGAAGGGGTTGACTTGACATTAGGCTGCTCAGGCACATGAAAGGGGTGTCAGGAATTATTGGGAGGAAATTGATAGCTTGTGTTTTCGCGAGGCAAATTTTATATATTAGGTTTGCACATAAATTGAAAATTAATTGAATTCCAAATAAATAAAATGTATAAGTGCCAAAAGCCTTTCGACTTTGTATACTCTGACTATTGCTAAAAAGGGGATTATACTCTTGTGCCAATATACAGGTAGAAGGAATCATCCCGGCCCTATAAAGTATATATTCCGTCAGTCTATATTTTCGACTTCGGAAACTTAAAGGCCTAGAGACTTTAAATGTTTATTCTCTTATATCATACACAGATTAAGTCTATCATTACATATCGATAAATATCGATATTCAAACTTTGATTTTTAAGCATAACTCGAGTATTATAAGAACTATACACACAAAATTTGGTCTGTAGGCTCTCGTATAGTTTATACAGATGAGGCATATTTCACTTTTTGAAAGCCAGCCCACAAATTAAAGAAATTTCAGGGTAGAGCCTTACTTTATGTCCCCTATCTCACAGTCAAGCATCTCAAAACAATTTCATGAAACATATTAAATTTCGAACAGCTTTAAATATTTGGCCTGTGCTCTTGTGTAAATTGTTTGTTATTTATCATAACTTTTTCGTTTCGCTCAACTCGCAGAAATGCGTTATTAATCACACGCTCGCATCTTCGAAAAAGTTTGTTCAACTTCTTGGCTTATATAATAATGGCAGCGAAGTCGAGATGCTTTGCCAACCCTTTAGCTTTGGCCAATTCGCCACTGGGCTTACACGCTGGCATTTTCACATTTGGCTTATTTGAATATTAGGGATTATATAAGCACATATACAACAGGGAAGGCAAAGGGGAAGGGCTGAGCACAGCGGGGCGTCCAGCTTGCCAGCATGCGTGGCAGAGGTCCTCTGCCAGCCATTCACTCATATGCTTATGCAAATGTAAACAACGCTGCCGTCAAATGCGATATGCGTACACTGCAAGAAAACTATCAGCTACATCATTTACCAAATTAAATTTGCTCATCAGCCGAAACTTCCGTATCATTTAAGCTGCTAAACGCGCGACGCATTCATCTTAATTAGCAAAAGGGGCCCAGCCAGCCAGGCAGGTGTGTGTCTAACCAGCTCCTGGGTGTCCTGGCAGGGCTCAGTGTTTGGGGCAGACAGTCAAAAAGTTTGCCGTTGTTGTCGGCATCGCATGCAAAAAAGGGATTCGTGTGCGCCGAATTCAACGGAAGAACGGCAAACAAACTCGGAGCTGGGAATGGAGCAGGAGCAGGACACACAACAATGACGACGCCACTATGAATGATTGCCGCGGCGCGCTTTGTTCATGTACATTCGAAATATTTTAGGGGGCAGGCCGGGCAGGGCTGGGCAGGGATGGGCAGGGCTACAAGGACCAGACAGGGAGTCAACTCCCGCTCATGTTGCGTGCGCAGCGGAAGCGAGGCAAAGCGGAAGCGCTCATACGCCACGTTGGCCGGCGGCGGCGTCAACGGCAGCGGCAGCTGAAAATTGAATAAGCGCAAGTTTTCGCGTGCCAAAAATGTTGTTGCCCGTTTGCCACCCGGGCGCACCCCCTATTCATTACCAAATGCTGCCACAACGAAAATGACTTGAGCCGGCGGCAGCAGCAGACTTCGACTTGGCGACTCTGTAGATACTTGTCAGGCGATAAAAAGGTCGACAGTGAAAACAACAACAAGAACAACAACAGCAACGACCAGCTTGTCGGGGCAGGCTGTACAACTCAATAAGCCAAGTTAACAGTCTATTGAGTCGCGCATTATAACCCCACCACCCGACCACCCACTCTGACAGTTACCTAATGGCAAACATGCACAGATAAAGCATTAAGTTTGCCCCAAGAACTGGCAAGTTGAGCAAAATTCTGTGCGACTCGTTGCGAGAAATGCCACAAAATCGATCGATAATTCGTGCTAAAAGATAAATTACCGTTATGTGGCGGCGACTTTGCCAAATATTTTTTTTTTTTAAGTTTTGCCTTTGCTTCGTTTGGCTTTGCGGCGCGCCAACCCTGGGCTCTGATAATATCATTGGCGTTTCTTGTAGCCGGCCGCACACTCGGCTAATAGCTGCGCTGATTCCATTAATTTGCCAAATGACAGCCAAGCAGGAAGCAGCAGAGCAGCGGAGCAGCAGAACAGCGGAGCAGGCACCGACTCCGGCCAGAACTGTGACCCGGATGTCGCGGATCCGAGTGGAGCCGATTGGTGGAGTGAAGTGGTCTATGGATTGGCTTTGGCTGCTGCCAAGCGGCGGCTCGCGCCATTTTGACACTAATTAATTAAGTTTTATTCTCTCTACTTGGCCAAATTTCTAGCTTTTTTCGTTGTGCGTGATTTTGCTGGGCAGCCATTTGTATCAAGTAAATTGAATACTTTGCCCGGACTGTGGCATCAAATGAAAACAAATAAATCTCATTTTTCTTGGTTCTTTGCCACATGATATACTTTTTCAGGCCTTCGCATTTTTGCTTTATTGCAACGTTATATTTAAATACGATGCATAAATTTGTGGCCAGATATCACGCACACACACACACACACACACACACACACACACACACAGGCAGACATTGGCTCGACACATCGGCACATAAAATACATCATGTTGCCGCATAACATAAATCCCCAGGCAGAGCCCAGCCCCAAGTCCCCAAAAACCCCATATAACAACTCAACAGCCCATCAAATAAACTTGAGCTACTTTCGCCTGCAGACAGACGTATGCAAAGGTGGCCTGAGGGGCAGCAGGGTCGCTCGAGGGGGGGGGGGGGTATATTGCACAAATAATCAACGTATAAAATATATCGATTACAAGTGTGACAACAGCACAAAGCAGCCCAAAGGGCGTGTAGAGTATAGAGTGGGCGAACTATAAATAAATATTAATTAAAGCCACGAAAGCCGCGAAAGCTTTGGGATGCGACAACGCATAAATCTTCTGCGAAATGCAGCAAATGCCACGAATTTGATTTTTTCGTTATAAATTATGAGCTTCATATTTCTTTACACATATTTTTTATTTGTATTTGTGTTGGTTTTCTTTGTCTGTCTGATTTATTAAACAAATATTTGGCCAATACTATAATTGACGAAATTATTTTGCCAGCATAGCAGCAACTTGCCGTAACGCATACGAGTCCATAAATAAATAAATAACAGCCAAATAAGCTCCACATACATGTATATATTTCGACATATTTCTGATTTCGAGCGTTTCGAAAAGGCGAACTAAAAACAACTCACGCGTTTATCATTTAAAATGCTTAATTTATGCGCGTCTACGAAATTTTGGCAGCTACACTTTACACCAGCGAAAAAAAAAATGGGAAAACAAATAAGAAAAAGCAAAATTAAAATGTTTAGAAAACAAGCAGCAAAGTATTCAAATGGCCCGAACCGAGGCTTTTTATGTATTTTGACGCGTCGCTAAATTTAGCTGGCAAATATTTTGCGCCCCAAGCAAACCCGGCAATTTGATGCGCAGCTTATGCAATGCATCCGGGAATCATATAGACAAACATACATATGCACATATAAATATATATATATGTGTGTGTGTGTGTATGTATTTAGATATATGTATTTTGGGCCCCGGCTACTGTTTAATTGCCCTCGCCGCGTGCAAGTGCGAGCGCGAGCGCACAAAGTGTCAAAGACCCCGTGACCGAGTGTACCACAGACCGGCTGAGCCTCGAGAGCAACGGAGCAACTACAAAAATGTCACCAGATGATGCCCACCTACCTCCCTCCCCCCCTCTCTCCACCACCCTACACAAAAGCACCACCCCAATGAATCTGGTATAAAAAGCGCAACTGTCAACTTGGCAACTCGCCGCAAACATTTGTCGCGCTCCGCCTCATTGCGTGAACAGTCATCAAATGATAGCCCCTACATGTGATAGGGTATACCGAGCTCTGATATAAGTATATATAAATAGCAGATACCAAATGCAATAACTATGAAAAGCACAAGTTTAATTGGTTATTCGATATTCGTTTATAAAACAAAGATTTCCAAGGAATATACATAATTTATTGAATTATATTTCCTTGCTGTGCATGTGTGTGGGTGGGGGTTAGGGTATATCGAATTCATGTATATATGAAAGCAATTGAAAATTAAAACTAGTTAAGTAGGGCAAACACAACAAAAGAGTTTGATTTAAAGTGCAGACCAATGTCACGCTTTAAGATTTGCCTTATCCACATCTATGAAACCAAAGTTTGAATCAATTTAATTTATTGTAAATTAACATTGTTTCCTTTTATTAAAATACAAAAAACGGTTCGGTTCAGGCCAAGATTAAGCTTTGTCCTAGTCAGGTTCGTTTCATGTTCAGTAAAAAGATGGAAATAGGTTTTTATAAAAGCCTTGGCAAGCAGCTCTTGCGCCGGCTTCTAATTACAGGGCATACACACATGACCGCAGGGCATAAAACCATCCGCAAAACAGTTTCATTTAATAAAAATAAAATGAAATAAAAGCGGCCAAAAGAGAATAGCCGCAAAAAGTTAGACAGACGGCGGGGCCTTCGAGACGGACGAACAGTTGCGCGTTTAGTTGCCAAATTAGCGCGACGCGGACTTTCGGCACACACTGTCGTCGCGTTGGCTGCCAACTGCCGATGAGTCAGTTGCAGTCACGGTTCCCAATTGCAGTTGCAGTTGCATTTGCATTTGCCTTTTCATCTGCGCATTTGGCTGTGAAAATCGCATTTCTATATTGCCACAAATCAATTTTAGTTTGTTTTTGCATTTCTTTTGTTATTTTAGTTTCTATTTTGAGTTAATTTTGAATGAAAATAGAAAATCTGCCGAATGGCCTTTGTTGTTGGCCTGGTCTGTACGCGTTTGCACACGTGCCGTAAAGATGTGAATCGCACATTGTTTCCATTGTTGGAAAAGCCCAACTTGTTAAAGCATTTTCACTGCAATTGACAATTGACAGTTGGCAAATGGCGAATGGCGTATGGAAACAGCGCTAATTGTTAAACAAAGCACGCAACTAACAAAGAGCCAAAGATAAATAAATAAATAGCAAAATGCTTATTAGTAAATAGTAAAAAGCAAGCGCAAAAAAGGCAACAAATAAACTGCTTCAAATTAATTATATAAACGTTGTGTAAGTACAGTGAAGCACAGAGATGACGAACATATCTGCACATAGTTGTAGGGGCTTGGTGAGCTATTTCTTAGTTATATACGAACTTTGGGTCCTTATGGGATTCAAGTTTCTGGATTTTAAGTGCTTCGCCAATATACTTTGATTTTCCTCCAGAGTGTGTTCGTCAGGGAAAGGAACACATTTTCATTTGCCAAGAAATTTAATTAAGTAATCATTTTAGCTGCTCTTGAGCTTAAATGTGTTATTTGACATAGCTATTTGTATCTGTATCTATTAAATATTATTAAGTAAATACGACAAACAAATCAGTTCATGTTGGGGAAGCACCTCCATAGATAATATTTAGCGTTAAGTTCAGTTCGTTGTCAATTTACGTTTATTTGTTGCGCATTTGATTTCGCTATACTATGATAAGATAGAAGCCGCACATAAAATAAAATATGTATATAAAATATATATAAATGCAATACCATAATCAGATTGACAGAATAGACAACATAGCCTGGCTCCACTGTAATCGCATTTGAGACTTTGTTGCTGTTGCTGGCAAAGCAAAGCCAAAACCGTTTAGCGCTGCAGTCGCGGCAGACAATACGACGACAACGGCAACTGTGTCAGCAGCAGCAACAAATGCAGCAGCAACAACAACAGCAACAACAGCAACAAATGAAGCAACATTGGCAGCAACTGCAGCCAAAGCCAGTTTATTGCCATTGTGTCGTGCGACAAGGCTAAACAACTGGCAAATGCTGCGCCCCCCACTGTTGACTGCTGCTGCTGCAGCTCCTTTGGGGCAGGCACTGGGGCAGCTGCTGCTGCTGCTGCTGCTGGGGCAGTGACATCATCCCCAGGCAAGCAATTAAAACTAATGTATTTGCCAGATTTGTTGGATGCGATTTTCCAACATATTGCCAACTCATTGCCTCAGCATTTCAAATGACCCAAAAATGACTTAACATTTGTGGCTGCTGCCCCCGCCCCCGTTGCTGCCACTCTTCCAGCTGCCGTTGCTGCTGTCGTTCTGGCTGGTGATTGATGCAATTTTATGACATTCGCGTGGGCGATTTTGGAAATGTGCTTGTAATTGTTTTTAAATGGCCAACTGACTGCAACTGCCATTGAAAATGCCGCTAACTTTGTGTGCAATTAGCTTATTTATTTATTACGTTTAACAGCACTGGCCCCAAGCCACCAACCACCACCCTGGCCAACACTGGCCAACTGTGCAAACTTTCGCCGCTCGCTTCGATGCGTTTAGCACTTAATTAATGCATATTTAACCGGCGGCCAATTTGAGTTGGCTAATTAGAAGCCCAGCTCATGCTGCCCTCGGGCGACGATTGGGAAAATTCAAGAGGAGTCGCTGGCTTCAATAAACGAACGTGCCACAGCGCGGCACGCAAACTCAGCTAAAATTCAACTCGAGTTAACTCATTTGCCTAACTGCCAAATGGCCAACAGATGCGGCACCTTTGACAATTTGCTTTTGTTGTTGTCGTTATTATTGTTGTTGTTGTTGTTGTTGTTGTTGTAGTGACAGGCCCTGTCATTTTGCATTTAACTCAAAACGCTGTAAAATATATACCATTATCACTTTATTATAATTATTCGTATACCTTCGCTCGGTTTTCCTTTACACTCTTTCTTGTCTTTAGCAGCACGTTTTTCTTCAGCTGTTTTTTACATTTGGCTTTTTCCCTTGTTTTTGCCTTATCAGCGGCTTTGCTGGCCGCTTCTCTCGTTGCTTTTTGTTACTCGAACAACATTTGCTGAAATGCCATAAATTTGCTAATTTATTGTTAATGTTCTTTTAAGTTAATTACGCAAAAAAAGCAAAAGCCTTTTAAGCCGCGGACACAAATTGCCAACGTGCATGCGGCTTAACTTTTTGCGTACATTGTTGAGGCAACTCGTGTTTCTGCCGCAGTTAACATAGTAAAACACATAAAAGAAAAACAAAAGGAAAAAAAATAACTGACTACGGCTTGTATCGTAGTCCAGCTAAAGACCAAGAGCTTGTTAATGAGCTTGAACTTGTGGCTGCCTTCAGATTGAAGTCTTTCGAGTTGTATTTAGTCAATATTTATTTTTAAAAATTCATTCATTTAGTTAACAATTAATTTCTATACTCTACACACATAAGCTCTGGGGATTTTTTGTACAAAATTTCCAAGTCAACATTATATTCGCTTGTATACATTTATCTCACAAATTTCTTCGTAATTGTTTTCGTTTGGACTTTGATTTTAATGAAGTTAAATTTCGTTAATTATGGTTTTGCTTTCTTGGCCCCAAGTTAAATTATTTAACGGCAATTAGTTGATTTATGTTAATTTAATCTAATAGCTCTTGACCTCACATTATGCACGGGTCTCGTTTGCCGAAAAGGCGGCCCACATAGGTATTTATAAGAATTGTAAATAATGAAAAATGCATGAAACCCGATCTGTGACACATGACACAAGGCAATTTTGTTGCTGTCGTTGTTGTTGTTGTCGGAGCCCAGGCTGACAATTTCGTGACAATTTATTGTACATATCAATGACAAAAAAGGCAAATACAATTGCCGCAATTGCAATGCTTTTTTGGCTTTTTTCATACTTTGACAATCGCTGCAAATCCAAATCCAACTCCAAATCCGAGTCCGAAATCTCTGACACAAACAGCATGTGCCATATTTTCGTGATGTTTTTGTTTTTTGCGGCTTTGTTGGCTAATTCTAAAATTGCTCGACTAAAAAACTGTCAACCAAAACGGTCAGCAGCCAAAATGTCAAATGCTTCACTGCGCTGGGCCATTAATTTTCATAAAAAATAATCATGCAACGAAATTTGATAGCATTTTCTGAACTATAAGAAATTTCAAATACAGCTTTAGTTAAATACGTAAGTTTTTCGTCTTGGCTTTAAATTTCTGCGCTTAACACTCGAATGACAACTTTTTATTGCGCTCTGGGCTCTGGTGACCAAGTTCCTGGCCAAGTTTCTGCCTGTGCACTGTCATCATCGTCGCCGTCGCCGTCGCCGTCTCCGTCGTCGTCTTCCTTTGAAAGCTTCTTATGCGTCTCGCCTGACAATGACAGCGACTATAACAATAACAATAAGCAGGCCAAGCACTGCGACAGCTAATCAAGAACGACTCAACAACTTCATTTGCGAGACACTCTTCACTTGGCTCATATTACACGCACCTCGGCGGCATGTGGCAGCCAGTCCGCTCTCCCCCTCTCTCTCTCTCTCTCTCTCTCGTATTCCCTCGTCAGACGCCCGTGTCGAACGCATGCACAATTAGTCACTTGCAAGTCAATTAAGTTCCCAGCGCTAACCACAACAGACGCCGGGAGAGAGAACCCATTCTGCCCGCCAAGTCGCAGCGCCATGTGCCAGATCCTAAACCAGACAGGCACGTATGGGTGGGATGGGCTGGTCTGGGCATGGAGATACCTGTGGCCGGGTCTCGGAAAGCGACTGAGGACACGACCACGACAGCGGCTGCGGCTGCGGCTGCGGCTGGGACCCGGACTGGGACTGGGTCTGGGACTGCGGCGCGTTGTAATGCTCTGGCGCTTATTTGCAGTAAAAAGCAATGACAACGTTGGCGACAACGCGAGAAAATTAAAGAGAGAGGGACACGGAGCGGACACGGACAGGCGAGTAGGTGCTGGCGGAGGAAAAGTAAAACAGAAACCATATTATTAACGCCTCATTAAACTTTTAACGATTTTAAATTACAGACTGCGAACGGGGCCAGCTAATGAATACAAATTAGCCGCAGAAGAGGTGCGCGCTCTGACTGGGCAAAAGATACATGCAATAGACGTAGATACAAATGCGATCCATATGTGTGTATGCGTGATATCTGAGGCCTATGACAATAAAAATACATGTAGTCAGGAATTCGATGTTTCTGTCTGCAAATGACTTTTCAATGTACCAACATTTGACACTCGTTATAACTAATTGTCAGTAATTGTTCAAACAGTTGAAATCCAAGCCCTTTCACCCCTTTCAGCCAGAGCGTGCGATTATTAATCAGGCATTCGATTCAATTGACAGTTGACAGTTGGTCTCGCTCGTTGTTTAATTGTAAACACTTGTTAAATGCAAATGAGACGCTGCCCATTATGTGCACAAAGCTATACACTACACACACGATCCGCACGACAGGCGGGTCAGGGCCCCGACTCAGTCGGTTCTTTATTTTTTTCTTCTCTTTTTCTGTTATATCACGACTTAGCCAATGCTCCAAAATTGCCAGTCAAACTAATGCATATTCAAAGTATGCCAACGGCGTTGTCTTTCAGCCATATTTAAATGCTAAAACAAGTATTTATAGGCCTAGCTGAAAATTGGCATAACCCATTTGAAAATGCGGCTAAAAGGGTAGATTGGTTTTTGAGTAACAGGCAGAAGCAGCAGCTGCCGAGCCCGTCAAGCATTGATATTTCTGATGAGGATGAGGAGCTGAGTTGATCTAGTCCTATGAACAAGTCCAAGGAAGTGGCAGCAGATTTTGAAGAAAATTTGATAAACCGTTTCTGCGTATAAACGCATCGTGTTGAAAACTACAAAAGGTTAAAATCTGCTATGATATATGTATATATAAGTATATATAAAAAGAGAACAGGGTAGAGGTAATAATATCGTAGAATATTTATTTTGTGAAATGGCTTTCTAAGGATAACTCAAAAGTTTCTAAACCTCATCTGATATAAAATTGGACAAATCAAGACTTTTATATGCCATATTTAAGCCTTATAAATATCATACAGATTGAAAGAATGTTATAATGTTTCTACCGCCAGCTTGTCGCTGATATTAGGGTATCCCCTAGCCGAGCCGACTGCCGACTGGCACACTCTTACTTGCTTTTATTTATTTATATACATTTATATGCACACATATTTATGTATTTGTATTGTCATTAAAGTCGCGTTCGCATGGCAAATTAAATCTGTAATTAAGAAATTAACTGCTTCCGTTCATGTTTATTGTGTGCCAACACATTCTTTTTCCACTCTACGAAAAATAAAAACTTAACAAGAATTTGCCAAACCGAAAATATAACTAAATAAAAAATGAACTATAAGAAAAGACACAAATAAATTCATTAGAAAATTTTAAAAATAGTCGTAAATTTGTTTTTTAAAAAAAACTTGATGGATGTTTATTAAAATTGTATAAGCAAACTTGTTGCGAAATACAAAGAAAACTATTTAAATTCTTAAAAATGTTTTTTTGACTTTTAGAGGCTGAAAATGTGGACCTTTAAAATGCGCTTAAACTAATTTACCTTTGTTTGTTGTCTTTGTTGTAATTTTCTTGATTTAATTTATGCATTAGTTGTTAATCTTTTACGTAACCTCTAAAAACAATACATTAAAATGTCATTAAATAAAATTATGGCATAAGTTTGATTTCCGTGTGATTTGAAGAACTAGCTCAAACGCCCATCGAGCAACCGAGTTATAAAGTAATTAACATAATTTATTTAGACAACATCAAATTAATAGTTAAAAGGCAAAATATTTCTTGCTGTTTCTCCTCCAATCGACATAATTTTATAAAATAATTAAAAGAATTCGTTCCTTGCACGCTCTGTAGCATTTTTGGGTATCTCTTCAGTTGTTTTTGATTCGATTGTTGTTGTTGTTGTTTTCTGCTTTTCGCCTCGATTTAATATCAAAGCAAGCCGACAGCGGCACAAAAGATACAGATACACAGCCACGCCCCCTCTCGCTGGCTGTCTCTGCCTCTGCCTCTGCCTCTGTCTGGTGCTCGCTGCTCGCTGCTGCAGCACATCCTACGCGGTCTTCCACTTTGTTAGTTTTTGGCATTTTGGCAAGCAACCAGAAAACACAGCAACAATAACAACAACAACAACTTAAGTTGTACGTAACGTAAACTTTATGCCGGCTTCTGGTAGAATTTATATACATATATATTTTTTAGAATTTATTTAAGGTCTGCCGTTTGGCTGCAAGTAGAAAAATTTGAAATGCACAAAGCAGAGCGGGGTCGGGGCACAAATTAAAAATCGAGACAAAACAACAATAGAAATTGTCAAAAAATCATACAAAATTTATGCAAGACTCGCGCGATTAGCCATCCGAAAATGGACTTGTGACAAGCGCGAAATGTTGGCAGCCCCAGCCCAGGTGAGGGTATAGAGAGGTCTGTGCCGAAACTGGTAAGCGGTCGGTTTTGTGTGTGGGCGCGTGTGAGAGTTGCCATCAAAGCCACTTTTTGTATCTTGCGCTGCGGGAACTGGTTGGCTTAGGTTCGGATGGGTCGTTTGTCGCGCTTGTCCACGCTTTTTTGTTTTTGGCCATTTCAATTTTGAAAATAGATTTAATTTTTATTGAAATTATGACATTCATCTTAATTTGCGCTAACGCATAACTTATTCAATTTTATTTCTTAAACTCTTTTGCAGGTGTGTATACGACTAAGCCGCCTCTCTTCATGTATGCGTGTATCTGTGTGTATCTCTTGCATGTGCGTAAGTATTTGGGAACAGGTTTCTTGGCCAGCATTCAACGTGTACGTGAACAGCCACAAACAACTGGAAGTCCAGGCAAATGGTCCGTTCGACATTCGATCTGCATGAGTACTTGCATAGATGCTGCCAAAAATGTGTATCATAAGATTTAAGACCCAAGCCTTTAAGGTTTGTTATCATAATTATTGCTGCAACATTTTTTGATGCAACAATTTAATGTGCCATCTATTCACATAGCTCACATTCCTTTCACTTGCCCATCTAATTATCTGGTTATGCAGAGGGCATCAGATTGTCGTCACGCCTCGTTTTGCAATGCAATCCATCTTGAAAAGTGATTTCCATGACGTTTCCCTGCTGCTGTTGCCACAGTAGGCGGAGGAAGGGAGGCCTGCCACATGGAGAATTCGTTGGTTTTTCTTGCGCTCATGTAATTTAATTAAAATGCAAGTGTATCATTTAATTGAGGCAGCGCCAAGGCCTTTGCCTCGATTGTGGATGAGCCGTCGTCTATCCAGTAAGTCCATACAAATATATCCATGTCCATGTGTGCGCCCGATGTTTGTGCTGTCATTAATCTTTCGACAGCTCTGCCTCCTACTGCTCCTCCTTCCCCTCTGCCCGTCCACCCTCTGCTCCTTTGAGTCAACTCCGACAACTGTGAAAATTGTTGCTGCGCATTTTCAATGGCAAGGCTTTGTTTTTGTTGCTGTTGTTGCTCTTGCTGCTGTTGCTGTTGTCTAATGATCGCGTGCAGTTTTTCACATGTTTTCCATAATGTGGCCAGGCGTCATATATCATAATTGTGCCAAACTATAAGCAGATACAAACGAGGCACTCGTATATCTATGACTCGTTTAGCCCCGATACATCCACTTGGACTTCAACTTGAAGCTCGAGCTTTGGGCCAGATGCAGATTTAAGCCGGTTGATTAATGTGCTCAATGTGCACAGTTGTCAGTATTATAAATGTACTTTGTTTTCTGTTAATCACAGCAGCAATTTCTATTCCACAGTGAACTCTGTACGCTTGTCATAAATTGATGATGTCTGAGGCTGAGTCTGAGGCTGAGGCACAGGCATTAGATTGGGCATATCTTATTCAATTAACATTCAGCATAGCAACTCAACTTGTTTGATATGTGAAATGCTTACTTGGCCAGTTCCTATAGCATTCCACAATTAATTCTATGCCACCCACTGCGCGGGTCGCTCAGTGACAGCCGCTCGGAGTGTGGCAATTGAATTTTAACATATTCATAAGCAAATTACCAGCGCCATAATAATAAAATGGAAAAAATGGAGAAAAAACTGTAACAGAAGTGTTGAGATCGCACTAATTACATGTCAAGCGACCCACACACACACCTCGCACTCACACCTCTACACACACACAGGCACACACACGCCAACACCTTGGCGCATAAATTTACAACAAACGACGCATGTCGCCGCGCGGCATGCGCCCCTTGCCATTGCAAATATGTTGCATGTGGCATTTTGTGAGTTTTGTGCGTCGTCGCCGACGCCTGAAAAGTGTCAAATGTGAAATTTATGTCTGCAGACAGGCTGACAAACTGACAGACGCAGTTGTAGACACAAAGTCAGTTGTGCGCATTCATGGCGCACGCGCAACAGTGCCCCGCCGCAGCTGCCACACAGCTGCCCCACGGCTATGCCCCGCTCGCATTGGGAGTATAAGAAATTAGCGCACGCTGTCGCACAAAAAAGATTTAAATAAAAGCCAAAACAAGTTGTTAACTTTATTAGCGTTCACTTTAGCTGTGCGCAGACAGAAATGTGATTTGCATAAAACGCAACTCGCAATTAGTTGGCATGCAAATCGCATATGGGCATAGGCCATGGACTGCGACTGGATACTGCTGTCTGAGGCCCCAGTCTTGGGTCATAACTCAAACTCGAGCCGAGGGCAAACAATGTGCTTAACTGCGAAATGTAACTACAAATTCGTTACAAGCTCGTCCTAAGATCATTTCTTGTTAATGGGTGTACTCTCAAGTCAATAACAGGGCTTGCCATTAAAAATGCTCTGCTGCGTTTTAATGTTTCTCTGTGATCTATTACAAAACTATGTTACAATTTTTGTACTCCATGGCCGATTTGAGCCTGGAAATTTTATTTACTCTTTTTAGCAGCAGGCAAATTTTAAGCCTGATGAGTTGGCGGAAACAGTCGAAGCTAAACTTAAACCTTAGCCACATTTTGTGAGTTTGTATCTTGAAAATATTATTGTAAGCCTTTGCAGACTTTTTATGTTGTGAAAATAATAGTTGCAATCTGTTCTTTCTTTCTGAACTTTCTACCAAATTGTTGTAAATGGAATGAAATGAATCAAATTTAGTTTAGTTACAAATATGGAAGACCAGCCCGAAGAGTCGAACCTTAAGGCAAGACGATGGAGTGAACCGTGAATCGAACCACCGGAAACGTTTCTTGGATTTGTTTGCAGCAAAGCTCATTACGTCAATTTGTACATCAGTTGCAGTTTTTCAATGCAACGACGCATGAAAGCGCCTTTGCAATTCAATTCGCCAAAAAAAACTTAAATATATGAATGTCATGCCGACTCAGTCACACTCGCACACGCACACACACATGAATAGTTATTCATAGCATTCATTTGTTGCTGCTGTTGTTCGTGTTGTTTATTGAATGTTGCCCGGTTGTTAAACGACAACCATTGTCGCTGTTGTTGCTGTTGTTGCTGTTGGGCAAACACATTTTTACATATTTTTCGCTTTTATGAGCATTCGAATGTGAAGAAAATTCTTGTCATTCAAATGAGCATACAACAATGCACGCACACGCGCTCACCCATGGGAAAAGCAACAACAACAACAACGGCAACAACAACAAAAAGAAATTCATGACTGTTCCTGTCAATTTTCATAGATATTTCATACATGTTGTGTATGCTCTATATATAGCATGTCCCAAGTTCTCTTCTACTGTGTGAGTACCCGTGAGTATTCGTACTCGCACTCGCACTCACACTCGCATTCGTATTCATATGTTTGCCTGTCACAGCCAGTTCAAGGCTATTTTGATTGATGGCTTATGGGGTTATTTGTGCTTAGCAGCTCGTTTGTGTGTGAGTCACGCAGCCACTTTGATAGTTTCTCTCCACACCAGTCACTAGACCAGACTTCCAGCTACTTAATGCTTTTTTTTCTTCCTAGCCGGCTCATTAGTGCAATTGAAGAGTTTTTAGATGGGGCATAAAAAGTGCTAAAGCCGTTTGCCCATTTCCTGCGCGGATGCGTGGGAAATGCCGCAGCCCTGGACAGCTGGGACAGCTGGGCTACACACGTAGTTTAATACATTTTTAATTGCAAGCCGTTATAAAAAAGGAGGGCTGACCGAATTGCACAGAAGACCTGCAACCAGCCAAGAGCAACAACGTACAACCGACAAACGATAACCTGCAGCCTGCCAAGGGGCAGCTTCAACTTTCACTCGTACTTAATTCAAAAGAAATCAGTCTCGGGAGAATTCTCGCATTCAGAGGCTGCAATTACAAGCGGCGACCGATAATAAAAAGACAACGCATAAATTACAGCCCAAAATTGGTGGAGTCACTCGCATTAAAAAAACAACCCAAGAGCAAAACATAAACGAAATCAAGCGCAAAAACAAAAACTTTATAAGGAAGTCGAGTGCGGCACGCTCGAAAATGCGAATGCGAGTGCTTAATTGAAAATAACGCAGCAGCAGCACAAAAAGCGTCTCGACTGCAACCTACATGGCGTATACGTAATTACAAATTTATGTGAACGTCACTCGATATGCTCAAAACAACATAAACGAAAAAAAAAACAACAATTGCAAGCAACTAACAAACTTGGCACGAATGCATAATGCATAATACATACGAGCCGCCGGCGACACTTGCTACATTGCCACCGGAGACGGCACGACGCGGCCTTTCAGTTGAAATGGGTGTTTGATTCAAAAATCGATATTCCAAAAAATCTTTAAAAAATTATGACATCATAACCGAACAGATTTTGGTCGAAAATTAATATTGAGCCCATTAATTTATGATTTGATAAGTGTCAATTAATAGTAGGAATCAAACGATATTTACCCAAGATATTCCAAAAAATCATCAAAAAAGTTTTGATTTTCGAGATTTCATTTTTTATTTTTTTAAGCCAATCGATAGTACTAATTCTTACGAGTCCAAAAATTATTAAAATTACCAAATCTGACATTATTTGGCCGAGATATTCCAAAAAATCATCAGAGAAGGTTGACTTTACAAAAGAATCGGTTTTTGGTCAACAACTTTTTTTAACCCATCGATTTTAAAAATGTTTATATGCCAATTGATAGTAGGGATCCGTACAAATTTAAAAAGGTATAACATTTTAAAATCAGACATCATTTACCCAAGATATTCAATAAAAAGCATCAATAAAGTTTTGATTTTCGAACCGACCCCGAAAATGAGAAAAAACGTGATATAAGCCCTTGCTATTTCGACGATTTCGGTCAAAATTTAGATTTTCATTCTTATGATGCGAATCGACAGTGCTGATCCTCACGAGTCAAAAATGGTATAAAATTCCCAAATCTGACATTATTTGGCCGAGATATTCCAAAAAATCATCAAAAAAGGTTGACTTTAGAAACGAATCGGTTTTTGGTCAACAACTTTTTTTAACCCATCGATTTTTGAAATGTTTGAATGCCGATTGATAGTAGGGATCCGTACGAATTAAAAAAGGTATAACATTTTAAAATCAGACATAATTTACCCAAGATATTCAATAAAAAGCATCAAAAAAGTTTTTATTTTTGAACCGACCCTGAAATTGAGAAAAAACGTGATGTAACCCCTTGCCATTTCGACGATTTCGGTCAAAATTTAGATTTTCATTCTTTTGATGCCAATCGACAGTGCTGATCCTTACGAGTCAAAAATGGTATAAAATAGCCCAAATCTGACATTATTTGGCCGAAATATTCCAAAAAATCATCAAAAAAGGTTGACTTTACAAACGAATCGTTTTTTGGTCAACAACTTTTTTTAACCCACCGATTTTTGAAATGTTTGAATGACAATTGATAGTAGGGATCCGTACGAATTTAAAAAGGTATAACATTTTAAAATCAGACATCATTTATCCAAGATATTCAATAAAAGTTATCAAAAAAGTTTTTATTTTCGAACCGACCTTGAAATTGAGAAAAAACGTGATGCCTTGCCATTTCGACGATTTCGGTCAAAATTTAGATTTTCATTCTTTTGATGCCAATCGACAGTGCTGATCCTTACGAGTCAAAAATGGTATAAAATAGCCCAAATCTGACATTATTTGGCCGAGATATTCCAAAAAATCATAAAAAAAAGGTTGACTTTAGAAACGAATCGGTCTTTTTTCAACAACTTTTTTTA